GAATTTCCTGTGTGTAGCGCTCGATCGCACAGCTACACTCGACAGACTCAGGCCTGGGCGTGTCTTGGTCACACAGCCCAGCGCAGGCCATCCCAGGTCTGCGTTTCCTGGGGCTGAGTTCTGAGCCCCACGCTACTTCTGAAAAGGGTTACTGCAGACCTAGCCACCAGGTCTGAGAGGAGAGAGGGTGTCATGGCAAGCTGACAGTCAATCCTCCGTCAAGACGGAGTAATCAATGCTGCTCAGGAGTCCTTCGGCCAGACGGAAGGAAGCGTGAGTGTGTCTTAATTGTCGTGTATAATTCCGACTTGCCGGTGGAATAGGAACCGGACTGACACTCCCCAGAATAGAAGGAGCCTTTATTTAGAAAACAAAAAAGACCATCTCAGTCCTTACTAGCTTGACTTGGGGAAGGATCGCTGAGATTTGTGAGTGAGGGGCTTCTACAGTACGGTTGTTTCTCCTCTTCATTGAAGGGCCTGAAGTTTTGCCACGTGGCAGGGGTGTGGCGAAACCTCACTTTATGTGGGCAGAGGCAGTCTTGTAGCATGCTCATTCCCGGATCAGGGATCGAGTGCTTCCCCATATTGCTTTGATTACTCCATGTTCACTCAGGGCAATTAGGTTGGTCTGTCCCCCCTTTCTGTAACTGGGCCAGAGGGTGGCTCTTACTGCCTACCCACGTGACCACCACCACGTGCTTCGGGGGTTGGGGCTCGTCACGTGCTGGGGGTCGGCTGATATGCTGAGATGAGATTGCACATTCGTCCTTAGGCTCAGATGGGCAGTTAATCCCCTCCCAATGAGGGTAATCGATGCTGCCCATCGCTATCAAGAACCAATACAGGCTCCTATATTGTAATTGGGATCACTGGACCCGGTTTCCAGCAGGTGCAGCTCCGCACAAATAGATTGGAGCCATCTTCTCCTTGGAGTCCTATTCGGGGAGGGTGTTCTTACCACCTCCTCAAATAGCAGATGTTTGTAGGATCTGATGGTGCTCCATCTTATGTTACAGATGTGCCCACCTCTTTTTTTTTACCCCGTTTTTTAACCCTCTTTACTTTTCCTGTGGGTCTCATGAGACCCCTCCGCCATCCTTTCATCAGTTCTCCCTGGTGCACCCCCACTCTCCCAGTCCGCCCTCAGTCTCTACCCCTCAGGACAATCACCCATCTACCATCTTGGTGGGGTGACGTGACTGGGCTTGCAGGAACCCCACTCAGACCTGGTTGAAGCATATTCGGACGAGCCCTGTCAAATGGGTGCTTCAGGCACTAGGCCTAAGCATTCTTTCTACAGGCCCATGGGTGGACTGTGGCATACTGCACAGCCACACGGGCCTGCAAGGGCCGACCAGACAGAAAATCAGGGCCTTCCAGGCCCTGTGTCGTTTTCAGCCTTAAAGCCTGAAAACAAGGCCCTACAGGCCCTGTGTCGTTTCAGCCTTTCAGCCTGAAAGCAAGGGCGTACAGGCCCTGTGTCGTTTCAGTCTGAAAGCCTGAAAACGAGGGCCTACAGGCCCTGTGTCGGTTCAGCCTGAAACAGGGCCCTCCAGGCCCTGAGTCTTTTCAGCCTGAAACGGAGGGCCATTTTCAGGCCCTCATAAGATCGACCTGCCCTGAAACTTGGTCACCAGACCAGGGTTTTAGCACAGGCCATTTTGGGCCTGTTTTCAAGACAACCTTTGTTTGAACTTCAAGGCCAGGGTCTGGCACGTTGCATTGGCAAGAGCATCCTCCTGGACGGGGCCAGCACTATATAAGACTGGCCCGTCATGCAGGCTGCAGGTGGTGGATAGGGACTTCCCAGGCACTTCACGTGCAGGAGGCAGGAGGCAGTCTTCAGGATTCGGCAGCAGCACTCTGGAGGAGCGCTGCAGTAGTCTTCAGCGCTGGGCGCTATTAGGAGCTAGAGTAGTGTTGGAGAGAGAGAGATGGTTGGCGGAGGCCAGCGAGACTTACCTGTGGCGCCATAGCGCTCCAGCGTCATCTTCGATGTACCTGCAACAAGGCGCCACCTTCACAGGTTAGTACCGGACTGAGAGAGAGAGAGAGTTCTTTTTCTTCCTCTTCTAAGTCCACCATCTCTCCCTCAACCTCTTGCTACCTACCTTCTCAGTATCTGCAGACTACGAGAGAGAGAGAGAGATTGGTGACTTTGGGACTTTACGTCATTTGGATTCAGACTCGGCATTGGGATTGAGACATTGGACGAGGGATTATTTGGCACCTGTACCGAAGACTTGGTGTTGATGACACTCCCATCTTCCCCTCTTCTTCGTCTAACCCCTCTCCTCTTGGTCTGTGTATGGTTGGGGACTGGCGCATTCTTCCTGTGTGAGTGCCAGGCCCCTTCACACCATGGAATGATGATGATGTCTGTTTGGTCTGCATTGCAACCTTGATTGTTCGGAGCATTGGTATATTAGCCTTCCGCTGCGCTATCTTGTACTATGTGAGAGAGGTCGGTTCTTGGCTCTGGTCTGTACCATTACGGTATGCGACAGTTTGGTATCGGAGCAGACCTCTCAATCAGAGGATCTAGCCAATCAAGGAGCCTGCTTGAGTATTAATCGATTGACAGTTTGATGATTGTTTGATTGTTTGAATCAAGTAGGATCCCGTTAAATCCCGACAAAATTCTTTCTTTCTCGCAACAAATATCTGAAAATTTCTGATAGTAGCATTTCGTTTCTCTGATATTAGCATCCAAAAATTTCTGATATTACTATATTAGCATTTATAGCCGAAAATTTCTGATGTTAGCATCTCGTTTTCTGGGCATACAGGTTAACAAGGGAGGTTGTCATATTCTCGGAAACTGGATTTATTCTTTTCTGAAAATCGAATCTCCATTCTATTTCGCGCAAATTTTTTTTCAAAGATTGCATTTTTGAAAACTGAAACTTTGCGAAAGCTTGCCTAAATCTTGTTAATAGTACTCCTCTGAAATGCCTCACT